CAACAAGGGTTTTGCCACCAAGTACTAAGTCATGTTTTGCAGAGGGGTTAAATACTTATTTCCCTCATTAAAATGCAAATTAATTTATAACATTTTTGACATGCGTTTTTCTGGATTTTTTTGTTGTTATTCTGTCTCTCACTGTTCAAATAACCCTACCATTAAAATTATAGACTGATCATTTCTTTGTCAGTGGGCAAATGTACAAAATCAGCAGGGGATCAAATACTTTTTTCCCTCACTGTAGACATCAACTGGCCACATAGAGTTGTTCAAACATCACATAGCATTCCAAACTTTTATATAATTTATTGATAAATCAGTAAACAGTTTGAACTGATTCAAATCATGGTGTGTTGTCAGTCATATGCAGATTTGCCTTTGTGTTGATGATTTGTGAGACAGTGTCACGCCCTGACCTTGAGAGCCCTGTTATTTCTCTAGTTAGTTTGGTCAGGGTGTGAATGCTAGATAATCTAGTTTATCTATTTCTATGTTGGCTGGGTGTGGTTCCCAATCAGAGGTAGCTGTCGATCGTTGTCTCTAATTGGGGATCATACTTAGGTAGCCATTTTGCCTACCTATGTTGTGGGATCTTGATTCTGTTTGGCTTGTTGGATGGTTAGCCTCTTGAACTTCACGGTCTGTTGGATTTAGTTATTTAGTTGGTTTTTATAATAATAAACGACCATGTACGCATACCACGCTGCACCTTGGTCCGATCCTTTATACAACAAACGTGACAGAAGATCCCACCACATACGGACCAAGCAGCGTGAACAGGAAGAGCAGACAACATGGACATGGGAGGATATTTTGGACGGTAAAGGATCCTGGACTTGGGAAGAGATCCAGGCAGGTATGGATCGCCTTCCTTGTGAGCAGACGGAGACAGCGAGGGAGAAAAAACGGCGACTCAAAAGGTCCCGATCACTAAGGAAGCCTAGTCCAGCTCCGGTCAGCTGCTTCACTCCAGTGCCAGAGCAGTCCGCTCCACCGGTGCCTAGTCCAGCTCTGGTTATCTGCTCCCTAACAGAGCCGGGGCAGTCCACTTCACCGGTGCATAGTCCGGGTCCGGTCGTCTACTCTCCCCCCATGCCGGAGCCATCCGCTCCACCGGGGTCTTTGCCCCAGTCTGAGGTCCTGAGCGCTCTGGAGCAAGTTTTCATCAAGGACCTCTCTGTACTTTGCTCCGTTCATCTTTCCCTCGATCCTGATTAGTCTCCCAGTCCCTGCTGCTGAAAAACATCCCCACAGCATGATGCTGCCACCACCATGCTTCACCGTAGGCATGGTGCCATATTTCCTCCAGACGTGATGCTTGGCATTCAGGCCAAAGAGTTCAATCTTAGTTTCATCAGACCAGAGAATCTTGTTTCTCATGGTCTGAGAGTCCTTTACGTGCCTTTTGGCAAACTTCAAGCGGGCTGTCATGTGCCTTCTACTGAGGAGTGGCTTCCGTCTGGCCACTCTACCATAAAGGCCTGATTGGTGGAGTACTGCAGAGATGGTTGTCCTTCTGGAAGGTTCTCCCATCTCCACAGAGGAACTCTGGAGCCCTGTCAGAGTGACCATTGGGTTCTTGGTCACCTCCCTTCTCCCCCGATTGCTCAGTTTGGCCGGGCGACCAGCTCTAGGAAGAGTCTTGGGGGTTCCAAACGTCTTCCATTTAAGAATGATGGAGGCCACTGTGTTCTTGGGGACCTTAAATGCTGCAGAAAAGTTTTGGTACCCTTCCCCAGATCTGTGCCTCAACACAATCCTGTCTCGGAGCTCTACGGACGTTTCCTTCGACCTCATGGCTTGGTTTTTGCTCTGACATGCACTGTCAACTGTGGGACCTTATATTGTCAATTGCTGCACCAATTGACAAGTCACCTCCATGAATCCAAAAGAACAACTGAGCAGGATAAAAACACATAATCCTTTTATACATTATTCCAATAATTTAAAAGTTATATATCCAGAAATGCTATTATAAGACTTAAGACATTATAAGGGGGTCATTCATGTTAAAGCAGTTTTCCTGTTAGTTACCAAGTTTCTTCTTTAAACAGATATTGTATAACATGTTAATAAAACTGTTAATGTATAACTTACAGGTAGTTTTCCGCATGTTGCTGCCTCTTTAGGTGTGTATACATTAAGATAAAGACAATAATCTGACACGTCTGTCAGGTCGTATTCAATGGCTATTACATTTACCATGTGTTGAGAAATAACTGGATCCTGAATACACCTAGAAAGAGAGACTGAGAGAGACTGAGAGGTCTCTCTGTCAATGCCATATCGGTTAGCACTCCATATCCAATGAAACACATTGTAAAAAGTGGGACGGCACTGTTGTTCATCTGAAGTGCTTTTTCTCATTGGTATGATCCAAAATTACGCTTTGGTTCGTTCACCCTATTCAATTTGTCTGAAATCCCCCCCAAAATGTTTTTTTTTTTTATTGAATGAAAGCTTCTAAATTGCTTTCAACACCTCATGTACATTTGCATTGTATAGCGGTGGGAGCAATGTAGCGGCGGCAGCCTATCAGAAGAGTTGGAGGCGCAGCCTATTGGGGGTGTGGATTTCAGGCTGTTCTTTTTGGCCACCCGTAAGAGTGAATGTCATTCCAGGTGATGTGTTCTTTATTTTTTATTTTTTTGAATATATGTTTACTGCCAGCACTGATATAAAGGCGAAAGAAACGCACACCTATTTAGGCGAGGTGCTGGCTGACTGCGCCGCACACTCTTGGAGCTCAGATGCAGTAATTTAATATCCTAATAACCAACGTTTCGACAGACAAGCTGTCTTTATCAGGGTATAATCATACTGCCAGCACTGAATCTTAACCAAAGAGGAAAAGTAAGCTGATTGTTGAAAGAAATAGGTTGCAACTTGAAATATAGGTTTGTTACTAATCAAATACATATATAACAGTTGGCATTGAATCATGTATTTGGTTTCAACAAATGTCTTTTTTTTCTCATGTACTTGTAACCTGTTGACACAATTGGTTTTTAGGTTGATCCAAAGAGTAATTTTTTACAGTGCAGAAGTACAAAGGTTAAACCATCTGACATGTGAGGTTGGCGTGTGCCGTCCCTCTCTGGCTCCCATGGCTCTGCAGGTTGTGGGGCAGCCAGGCGCAGGGGACCCACAGGTGGATGGGCAAAGGGTATCTCCAAATACTGCTGCACCATCTGCTGTATACCTTTCACAGTCATGTACTCACCCTGAACTGTTACAGGAGGGGGTTGCAGTTCCGGAACGACCCACTAGGTGTCATCCTCCGACAACCTTAGGCACCTCCTCACTCACAGTCTGGACTAATCATTATCTTATTGGTGTCACCTGTGTCTACCTGTTCACCTGTGTATTTATGCCCTCACTTCCCTGTGTTCCCTTGCTCAGTTTTCTCTGCTATTTTCTCTATGTCCAGCAGTACTACGCAGTGTCTGATCGGAGACCTATGAACAGGTACTTGAGAAGTGTTCTCCCTGTTTCGTTATTTGTTTCAGTCTTAGGTAGTATTTTGTCTGTCAGCCGGTTTTTGGAGACGTATTTGTTCCGCCTTTCTTTTATCATGATATGTCCGTTATATTGTATTCTGGCTTCGGGACCACCAGTAAAGATCCTTGTTTCACCATCTCTGCCTACTGTATATCCTGCACCGCACCTGGGTCACACCTCACACCAAACCTTACACTGATTTCTTACCTGTTGTGCCCAGCGAAGCACCTAAAAAGACTATAGTCAGGTACACGTTAAGAAGTGTTGTTCACATCATGGCTGTGTCTTTGGAAAGACAGACAGACACTCAGTTTACATTCAAGCAAATACCCCTCCCTACACCAAGTACCTGCCCCTGAATGGGTACACACACACACATTGATTTAACTTCTGTTCCACTAGACCCTGCCCTAACCGCCTACAGCCCAGCATACAAAACAACAGTCTTTGAACAACACGCTTAATGAAGCTATTCAGGGATACCTGAGTTGTCGAAGAGCTGGTTTACTCCGACACTTCAAGGACTTTAAAAGAAGGGATGTAAAAAAATAAGAAAACATATTTGCTGGAGTGAGCTTGGTCAGAGTTGGCAACTGTATTTCATGGTGATAAGGTCCGGTGATACATGAAGGGACAAATAAGTTACATTACAGTAGATTGCATTTAATCCTCTTTGCCTCTTTTGACAATAACAAACCTCTTTACTTGGGTTTTATCCTTTAGTGAAGCACTGCCCTGTATCTCACTGCAGATTTGCAGTATAAACCAGCTTTGCCCTTGTAACCTTATGCCAGTTTTTTGACCAGCTGGTGTTCATAGCAATGCTCAATATCCTTTGGGTTTAGTGTACTAGTCCTGAATGACTTTCTGACTGTCTTTTTCTACTGCTCTCTGTTGGAAATGTTACTAGACTAGATAGTGCTATTTTTAGTTGTATAGTTTATTTGCACCATGATTTAAGCATAAGGCTCTTAACTATACCCAGAGCCACTTCATGCATGCTGCCGTGCCACTATATATATAACATCACACGTAATGCTGTCTGGATTAGGATTTTGTCAGAGACTGCCGCAACATACTATGTGACCAGTATAAATCACAAGTTTGAAGGGCAGGCAGTGTGTGGCTGACCAGGTCAAAGAAAGCTGTTATCCATGGAACTTCAACACTTTAATGTCAGTGGAACAGGTGGTAACAGGTAAATGCATTCTGATTTATATCATTTACATTACATTACATTTACGTCATTTAGCAGACGCTCTTATCCAGAGCGACTTACAAATATCATTGGCTTTGTGTTCTTAAAGGTTTACTCCTTTTCTTCACAAGATTGTCTTACAAGTTAAATATTTATAGTGGACATAGTGATATATTGAACATTGTCTTCTATTGATATATATATTTTTTAAACCATGTTATAATTTTTTTAATTAAAAGTAACATAATTAAGCACCTTCACTTGTTCCTCTCTTTTAAAATCTCTCCATTACTTTCAGTAAAAAAACAGAAGACAGTGGAACATGTCAATGCATGAGGTTTCCCCATCAGAGGTGTTTTGTGCTTCTCCTGGCTGTGGGGATCCTGGTGATCTTCTACGTAACCACCCTCTTCACTCTTCATACAAGCCAGACCCCACTCTGGCTGCTAGGAGGTCAGGATCTAACTCCTCTCTCTTATACCAATGAAAATGAGGAGGAGTTTTTTTCACCATACCATGTAGCCTACCCACAGAAATATCAGTTTGTCCTGGATGAGCCTCATGAGTGCCAGGACCGCAGCCCCTTCCTGCTTCTGATGGTGCCAGTAGCTCCTGGTAATCTGGTAGCCCGGGAGGACATCCGGAGGACTTGGGGTAAGGAGAGCCTGGTTCTGGGCCGGGCTGTGCATCTGTTCTTCCTGCTGGGCCTGCCCAGTGGAGCAGGGGCACAGAGGATGCAGGAGGAGGTGCTGCTGGAGAGCCAGGAGTACCATGACATGCTGCAGAGTGACTTCCAGGACAGCTACTTCAACCTGACCATCAAGACCATGGTGATGCTAGAGTGGCTTGCCTCTCGCTGCCCCGGCGCCTCCTTCGCTATGAAGATTGACTCTGACATGTTCCTCAACGTGCACAACCTGGTCAACATGCTGATAGACCCAACCACACCAAAGCACAACTACATCACTGGGAAGTTCAGCCAAAACACACAAGTGGTGAGAGACAGCACCTCAAAGTGGTACATTCCCAATAAGGTTTACCCCAGTACCAAATTCCCTCCCTACCTTTTGGGAAATGGTTATGTCTTTTCCATAGATCTTCCTGAGAAAATAGTGGAAGCATCCAAACAAGTCCGTGCCATATTTTTAGAGGATGCCTACCTGGGTATGTGTCTGAGCTATTTAGGGATTGCAGCCAGTTACCCACCTAACTCTGCCCTCTTCAAGCTTTCCATGCCCTACACTCACAATCGCTGTTACTACTCTACTGTCATCACTACTGAAATGGACCGTGTGAGTGACCTGCTGCGAGTCTGGGAGGACTTACAGAGACCTGGCACTCCCTGCTGAGAACGATGAACAACTCTTAAAGCTTTGAATCCTTACCCTGCTAATAATCCTTATAAGTATTAAACACACTATATGTAAGCACATGCACACAAGTATTTAAAAAATAGGTAAGCACACGCACACATACACACACACTCACACATACACATACACAGACACGCACTCACACACACACAGACTCTGGCATCACGGTATCATTGTATAATTCACTCAGCATTTTAATTTCATTCTAAAGTAGTAACATGTTATTACACAGTAATTACCATATGATATGACCAGATAATGTTGTTACAATAACAGCATTACTACACAAGTAGAAGAGCAACGTAATGTGAAGTGTTACCGATCGGTCTTGCCAGTATCATTTCTCATGACTGTCTTAAATCCAAACGGTAATGTGTGATCTTAAAGACACCTGTATAAAAGACACCTATCCACAGAAGCAATCAATCAATCAGTTTCCAAACTCTCCACCATGGCCAAGACCAAAGAGCTCTCCAAGGATGTCAGGGACAAGATTGTAGACCTACACAAGAAAGCACATATACATGCCCATCTGAAGTTTGCCAATGAACATCTGAATGATTCAGAGGAGAACTGGGTGAATGTGTTGTGGTCAGATGAGACCAAAATGGAGCTCTTTGGCATCAACTCAACTCGCCGTGTTTGGAGGAGGAGGAATGCTGCCTATGACCCTAAGAACACTATCCCCACCGTCAAACATGGAGGTGGAAACATTATGCTTTGGGGGTGTTTTTCTACTAAGGGGACAGGACAACTTCACCGCATCAAAGGGACGATGGACGGGGCCATGTACCGTCAAATCTTGGGTGAGAACCTCCTTCCCTCAGCCAGGGCATTGAAAATGGGCTGTGGATGGGTATTCCAGCATGACAATGACCCAAAACACACGGCCAAGGCAACAAAGGAGTGGCTCAAGAAGAGCACATGAAGGTCCTGGAGTGGCCTAGCCAGTCTCCAGACCTTAATCCCATAGAAAATCAGTGGAGGGAGCTGAAGGTTCGAGTTGCCAAACGTCAGCCTCGAAACCTTAATGACTTGGAGAAGATCTGCAAAGAGGAGTGGGACAAAATCCCTCCTGAGATGTGTGCAAACCTGGTGGCCAACTACAAGAAACGTCTGACCTCTGTGATTGCCAACAAGGGTTTTGCCACCAAGTACTAAGTCATGTTTTGCAGAGGGGTTAAATACTTATTTCCCTCATTAAAATGCAAATTAATTTATAACATTTTTGACATGCGTTTTTCTGGATTTTTTTGTTGTTATTCTGTCTCTCACTGTTCAAATAACCCTACCATTAAAATTATAGACTGATCATTTCTTTGTCAGTGGGCAAATGTACAAAATCAGCAGGGGATCAAATACTTTTTTCCCTCACTGTAGACATCAACTGGCCACATAGAGTTGTTCAAACATCACATAGCATTCCAAACTTTTATATAATTTATTGATAAATCAGTAAACAGTTTGAACTGATTCAAATCATGGTGTGTTGTCAGTCATATGCAGATTTGCCTTTGTGTTGATGATTTGTGAGACAGTGTCACGCCCTGACCTTGAGAGCCCTGTTATTTCTCTAGTTAGTTTGGTCAGGGTGTGAATGCTAGATAATCTAGTTTATCTATTTCTATGTTGGCTGGGTGTGGTTCCCAATCAGAGGTAGCTGTCGATCGTTGTCTCTAATTGGGGATCATACTTAGGCAGCCATTTTGCCTACCTATGTTGTGGGATCTTGATTCTGTTTGGCTTGTTGGATGGTTAGCCTCTTGAACTTCACGGTCTGTTGGATTTAGTTATTTAGTTGGTTTTTATAATAATAAACGACCATGTACGCATACCACGCTGCACCTTGGTCCGATCCTTTATACAACGAACGTGACAGAAGATCCCACCACATACGGACCAAGCAGCGTGAACAGGAAGAGCAGACAACATGGACATGGGAGGATATTTTGGACGGTAAGGGATCCTGGACTTGGGAAGAGATCCAGGCAGGTATGGATCGCCTTCCTTGTGAGCAGACGGAGACAGCGAGGGAGAAAAAACGGCGACTCAAAAGGTCCCGATCACTAAGGAAGCCTAGTCCAGCTCCGGTCAGCTGCTTCACTCCAGTGCCAGAGCAGTCCGCTCCACCGGTGCCTAGTCCAGCTCTGGTTATCTGCTCCCTAACAGAGCCGGGGCAGTCCACTTCACCGGTGCATAGTCCGGGTCCGGTCGTCTACTCTCCCCCCATGCCGGAGCCATCCGCTCCACCGGGGTCTTTGCCCCAGTCTGAGGTCCTGAGCGCTCTGGAGCAAGTTTTCATCAAGGACCTCTCTGTACTTTGCTCCGTTCATCGTTCCCTCGATCCTGATTAGTCTCCCAGTCCCTGCTGCTGAAAAACATCCCCACAGCATGATGCTGCCACCACCATGCTTCACCGTAGGCATGGTGCCATATTTCCTCCAGACGTGATGCTTGGCATTCAGGCCAAAGAGTTCAATCTTAGTTTCATCAGACCAGAGAATCTTGTTTCTCATGGTCTGAGAGTCCTTTACGTGCCTTTTGGCAAACTTCAAGCGGGCTGTCATGTGCCTTCTACTGAGGAGTGGCTTCCGTCTGGCCACTCTACCATAAAGGCCTGATTGGTGGAGTACTGCAGAGATGGTTGTCCTTCTGGAAGGTTCTCCCATCTCCACAGAGGAACTCTGGAGCCCTGTCAGAGTGACCATTGGGTTCTTGGTCACCTCCCTTCTCCCCCGATTGCTCAGTTTGGCCGGGCGACCAGCTCTAGGAAGAGTCTTGGGGGTTCCAAACGTCTTCCATTTAAGAATGATGGAGGCCACTGTGTTCTTGGGGACCTTAAATGCTGCAGAAAAGTTTTGGTACCCTTCCCCAGATCTGTGCCTCAACACAATCCTGTCTCGGAGCTCTACGGACGTTTCCTTCGACCTCATGGCTTGGTTTTTGCTCTGACATGCACTGTCAACTGTGGGACCTTATATTGTCAATTGCTGCACCAATTGACAAGTCACCTCCATGAATCCAAAAGAACAACTGAGCAGGATAAAAACACATAATCCTTTTATACATTATTCCAATAATTTAAAAGTTATATATCCAGAAATGCTATTATAAGACTTAAGACATTATAAGGGGGTCATTCATGTTAAAGCAGTTTTCCTGTTAGTTACCAAGTTTCTTCTTTAAACAGATATTGTATAACATGTTAATAAAACTGTTAATGTATAACTTACAGGTAGTTTTCCGCATGTTGCTGCCTCTTTAGGTGTGTATACATTAAGATAAAGACAATAATCTGACACGTCTGTCAGGTCGTATTCAATGGCTATTACATTTACCATGTGTTGAGAAATAACTGGATCCTGAATACACCTAGAAAGAGAGACTGAGAGAGACTGAGAGGTCTCTCTGTCAATGCCATATCGGTTAGCACTCCATATCCAATGAAACACATTGTAAAAAGTGGGACGGCACTGTTGTTCATCTGAAGTGCTTTTTCTCATTGGTATGATCCAAAATTACGCTTTGGTTCGTTCACCCTATTCAATTTGTCTGAAATCCCCCCCAAAATGTTTTTTTTTTTTATTGAATGAAAGCTTCTAAATTGCTTTCAACACCTCATGTACATTTGCATTGTATAGCGGTGGGAGCAATGTAGCGGCGGCAGCCTATCAGAAGAGTTGGAGGCGCAGCCTATTGGGGGTGTGGATTTCAGGCTGTTCTTTTTGGCCACCCGTAAGAGTGAATGTCATTCCAGGTGATGTGTTCTTTATTTTTTATTTTTTTGAATATATGTTTACTGCCAGCACTGATATAAAGGCGAAAGAAACGCACACCTATTTAGGCGAGGTGCTGGCTGACTGCGCCGCACACTCTTGGAGCTCAGATGCAGTAATTTAATATCCTAATAACCAACGTTTCGACAGACAAGCTGTCTTTATCAGGGTATAATCATACTGCCAGCACTGAATCTTAACCAAAGAGGAAAAGTAAGCTGATTGTTGAAAGAAATAGGTTGCAACTTGAAATATAGGTTTGTTACTAATCAAATACATATATAACAGTTGGCATTGAATCATGTATTTGGTTTCAACAAATGTCTTTTTTTTCTCATGTACTTGTAACCTGTTGACACAATTGGTTTTTAGGTTGATCCAAAGAGTAATTTTTTACAGTGCAGAAGTACAAAGGTTAAACCATCTGACATGTGAGGTTGGCGTGTGCCGTCCCTCTCTGGCTCCCATGGCTCTGCAGGTTGTGGGGCAGCCAGGCGCAGGGGACCCACAGGTGGATGGGCAAAGGGTATCTCCAAATACTGCTGCACCATCTGCTGTATACCTTTCACAGTCATGTACTCACCCTGAACTGTTACAGGAGGGGGTTGCAGTTCCGGAACGACCCACTAGGTGTCATCCTCCGACAACCTTAGGCACCTCCTCACTCACAGTCTGGACTAATCATTATCTTATTGGTGTCACCTGTGTCTACCTGTTCACCTGTGTATTTATGCCCTCACTTCCCTGTGTTCCCTTGCTCAGTTTTCTCTGCTATTTTCTCTATGTCCAGCAGTACTACGCAGTGTCTGATCGGAGACCTATGAACAGGTACTTGAGAAGTGTTCTCCCTGTTTCGTTATTTGTTTCAGTCTTAGGTAGTATTTTGTCTGTCAGCCGGTTTTTGGAGACGTATTTGTTCCGCCTTTCTTTTATCATGATATGTCCGTTATATTGTATTCTGGCTTCGGGACCACCAGTAAAGATCCTTGTTTCACCATCTCTGCCTACTGCCTACTGTATATCCTGCACCGCACCTGGGTCACACCTCACACCAAACCTTACACTGATTTCTTACCTGTTGTGCCCAGCGAAGCACCTAAAAAGACTATAGTCAGGTACACGTTAAGAAGTGTTGTTCACATCATGGCTGTGTCTTTGGAAAGACAGACAGACACTCAGTTTACATTCAAGCAAATACCCCTCCCTACACCAAGTACCTGCCCCTGAATGGGTACACACACACACATTGATTTAACTTCTGTTCCACTAGACCCTGCCCTAACCGCCTACAGCCCAGCATACAAAACAACAGTCTTTGAACAACACGCTTAATGAAGCTATTCAGGGATACCTGAGTTGTCGAAGAGCTGGTTTACTCCGACACTTCAAGGACTTTAAAAGAAGGGATGTAAAAAAATAAGAAAACATATTTGCTGGAGTGAGCTTGGTCAGAGTTGGCAACTGTATTTCATGGTGATAAGGTCCGGTGATACATGAAGGGACAAATAAGTTACATTACAGTAGATTGCATTTAATCCTCTTTGCCTCTTTTGACAATAACAAACCTCTTTACTTGGGTTTTATCCTTTAGTGAAGCACTGCCCTGTATCTCACTGCAGATTTGCAGTATAAACCAGCTTTGCCCTTGTAACCTTATGCCAGTTTTTTGACCAGCTGGTGTTCATAGCAATGCTCAATATCCTTTGGGTTTAGTGTACTAGTCCTGAATGACTTTCTGACTGTCTTTTTCTACTGCTCTCTGTTGGAAATGTTACTAGACTAGATAGTGCTATTTTTAGTTGTATAGTTTATTTGCACCATGATTTAAGCATAAGGCTCTTAACTATACCCAGAGCCACTTCATGCATGCTGCCGTGCCACTATATATATAACATCACACGTAATGCTGTCTGGATTAGGATTTTGTCAGAGACTGCCGCAACATACTATGTGACCAGTATAAATCACAAGTTTGAAGGGCAGGCAGTGTGTGGCTGACCAGGTCAAAGAAAGCTGTTATCCATGGAACTTCAACACTTTAATGTCAGTGGAACAGGTGGTAACAGGTAAATGCATTCTGATTTATATCATTTACATTACATTACATTTACGTCATTTAGCAGACGCTCTTATCCAGAGCGACTTACAAATATCATTGGCTTTGTGTTCTTAAAGGTTTACTCCTTTTCTTCACAAGATTGTCTTACAAGTTAAATATTTATAGTGGACATAGTGATATATTGAACATTGTCTTCTATTGATATATATATTTTTTAAACCATGTTATAATTTTTTAAATTAAAAGTAACATAATTAAGCACCTTCACTTGTTCCTCTCTTTTAAAATCTCTCCATTACTTTCAGTAAAAAAACAGAAGACAGTGGAACATGTCAATGCATGAGGTTTCCCCATCAGAGGTGTTTTGTGCTTCTCCTGGCTGTGGGGATCCTGGTGATCTTCTACGTAACCACCCTCTTCACTCTTCATACAAGCCAGACCCCACTCTGGCTGCTAGGAGGTCAGGATCTAACTCCTCTCTCTTATACCAATGAAAATGAGGAGGAGTTTTTTTCACCATACCATGTAGCCTACCCACAGAAATATCAGTTTGTCCTGGATGAGCCTCATGAGTGCCAGGACCGCAGCCCCTTCCTGCTTCTGATGGTGCCAGTAGCTCCTGGTAATCTGGTAGCCCGGGAGGACATCCGGAGGACTTGGGGTAAGGAGAGCCTGGTTCTGGGCCGGGCTGTGCATCTGTTCTTCCTGCTGGGCCTGCCCAGTGGAGCAGGGGCACAGAGGATGCAGGAGGAGGTGCTGCTGGAGAGCCAGGAGTACCATGACATGCTGCAGAGTGACTTCCAGGACAGCTACTTCAACCTGACCATCAAGACCATGGTGATGCTAGAGTGGCTTGCCTCTCGCTGCCCCGGCGCCTCCTTCGCTATGAAGATTGACTCTGACATGTTCCTCAACGTGCACAACCTGGTCAACATGCTGATAGACCCAACCACACCAAAGCACAACTACATCACTGGGAAGTTCAGCCAAAACACACAAGTGGTGAGAGACAGCACCTCAAAGTGGTACATTCCCAATAAGGTTTACCCCAGTACCAAATTCCCTCCCTACCTTTTGGGAAATGGTTATGTCTTTTCCATAGATCTTCCTGAGAAAATAGTGGAAGCATCCAAACAAGTCCGTGCCATATTTTTAGAGGATGCCTACCTGGGTATGTGTCTGAGCTATTTAGGGATTGCAGCCAGTTACCCACCTAACTCTGCCCTCTTCAAGCTTTCCATGCCCTACACTCACAATCGCTGTTACTACTCTACTGTCATCACTACTGAAATGGACCGTGTGAGTGACCTGCTGCGAGTCTGGGAGGACTTACAGAGACCTGGCACTCCCTGCTGAGAACGATGAACAACTCTTAAAGCTTTGAATCCTTACCCTGCTAATAATCCTTATAAGTATTAAACACACTATATGTAAGCACATGCACACAAGTATTTAAAAAATAGGTAAGCACACGCACACATACACACACACTCACACATACACATACACAGACACGCACTCACACACACACAGACTCTGGCATCACGGTATCATTGTATAATTCACTCAGCATTTTAATTTCATTCTAAAGTAGTAACATGTTATTACACAGTAATTACCATATGATATGACCAGATAATGTTGTTACAATAACAGCATTACTACACAAGTAGAAGAGCAACGTAATGTGAAGTGTTACCGATCGGTCTTGCCAGTATCATTTCTCATGACTGTCTTAAATCCAAACGGTAATGTGTGATCTTGTGTGTATCTGTGAAGTAAGTATCAAATGATGTTCTAATATCTTCAAAGATGAGCATGATCAGTGTGTATCACAGTATCCGATGTGACAGTATAGTCTCAATTTCTGTACATCATCAAGACAAACTCATATGTGGATAAAACATAACATGTGGTCCTCTGTAGCTCAGCTGGTAGAGCACGGCGCTTATAACGCCAAGGTAGTGGGTTCGATCCCCGGGACCACCCATACACAAAAAATGTATGCACGCATGACTGTAAGTCGCTTTGGATAAAAGCGTCTGCTAAATGGCATATTATTATTATTATTATAACAGCTACTGTGCTGTTACACACCAGCCTTTTTCTACTTCACAAGATTTCCACGGTCACTAGATGGCAGCAGTGAATCTAGCGTAAACGTTTGTCTTGTGAGCTATTGTCTTGGTTGTTTGTGATTTGTACACTCAATTGATGCCTACTTAAGATTGATTTTGTTACAAATTCCTGTATTGTTTGTAAAAAATTTAAACTGAACAAAAACAGATAAACAGATGTAATCCATTACAGACTTATTTGTTAAAGTATTGAGAATACACATTGCACACTTGAGACTTTATGTTGCCAACAATCTATCACTTGGTAATTTTGGTAGCATAAATAGTGATGGGACTATTTTAAAGCCACACTCCTTAATTTGTGCATACCCTCAAAGAGTGGGCTAACAACAAAAATGTAAACAATGTAGCAAATGCATCCCATGACATCTTCATATACAAATAGTAGGCTACATACGTTCTCAATTAATGATTTACTAGGATAGAGCAACATACATTATTTGAAGCTATAGTTTCCAATGACAACATAAACATAAACATTGAAGTTCTAGGTCCTTTTTTTGGGGGTACTGATAAGGTAAAACATGTCAAAATCAAGGGATATTTCATTATGTGAAATTACTGAAAAGTTTGACTGTGGCTTTAATTCAAATATTTCCATGTAAAACTGTTTTTATTTCCACTAAGAATTAAATGAATACAACAGCATTCTTGGCACCCACCAGTTATCTAAGACTAATCCAATCACATTTTAATTTGTCTTGAATTGCATGTTGTAAATAGAAAAATGTTGCACATCACCTATGATATTGCATTTACAGTGCACCAAAGATTTCCCTATGCAAGGTTTCCATGTCTTCATTTTCTCATCAACTTGTCTTCATAATTATATCATAACTGTCTGTCATCTTAAAACGTGACGTTTTCAGGAGTCACGTAAGTGTAGGCAAATTCCAAAAGATGAACTATTAGGCTCCCTTATAGTTTGCACATTATAAAGATATAATACAGACTCACCATAATAATCATACTATTACTATATTATGCTATTATAAATGACAGAATTTCGATCATTTTAGATAAAGTTTCGAGTCAAAATAAACGTTATCAATGAATAAAATGAAAGTAGGTAGAATCAAGAATTTTGGGGCCTACAATTCAGAGAAGAAGAAAAAACGTCCATAATGGACACGTTAGCCTCACGTCAGACGCAGGGGGCGTTAGAGGGGCGTGTCAGTGCTGCATATCAGCTGTAATGTTTAATGTAACGCTCGCGCTCCATTGAAAAGTGCCTGCCAGTACTCGAGTGTGGGGCGGATTAGGGAAAAACAAAGGAAAACGAAATCAGTTATAGGCTACATTGACCTCTATAGCGGCAACATTTAATACAATAGTTATAGCGATACAACTGCAGTCACTTGCATCCCGTAGGTGACAGTTAAGACATAACAAGGAAGAGGAGGAAGGGCAAAGAGAAGACCGCACATCTGGGAAGACATTGAAAAGTAACTAAAGCTTACTTGGCCACAGGTAGCCCTCGCGCGTCAAAGAATATCAAAGTGCAGGACATGCGGATATCTCCGGCCGGAGATCGATCTGTGTTTCAGTGCTAGTTCTTCGTAGGAAAAAGATAACTTCCCTTCAGCGGACCAAGAGCAGGAGAAAAACATGTCCCGAAGAAAGCAGAGCAAACCCCAGCAGATCAAACGTAAGAAAAATAATACGTTCACATTGATCTTTATTAAAGGTGGTTCATTGGGTACATACTGTGTATACTTTGACAGGTGGCCTAGGTTAGTGAAATTTAGCAGTGACCAAAATAATATTTATATAAATGACCTGCCAACCTAATATAAAAATGTGACTAGGCTATGTTTATAATAATTTTGTGGAAATGTGCATTATTTTTAGCCTACATTTTATGTAGGGTAGCCAACAGTTTAAATGATAGCATACTGACTCAAATACATTTAAAAGATAGGCTAGTCAGCCAGCCTAATATCGAGCACATAGGCCACTATTATAAATGCTTGGTAGGCCTACTAGAGCATATATATTCAAAATAATCTATCATTTTAAATGTGATGTAAAGCACATCTCAGTGTAAGTTTTCTGCGCTCTCCTGCTCCACTCTCCACAGTGAGTGTGCAATCAAATATTGTTTTAAAGTAACAATGTGAAACATCATGTGAAAGCTATAATTCTTTTAGATGTATGCTAAAATAAAAAAAATGGTTTATGAAGTCTATCACAGTGGGTATAAACATTGGGTTACTTAGTTAGGGCCACTTAGCCTAACTTGCAGTCTCTCTCCAACTTTATTTAGTTGCAATATAGGCCCCTAGGCTTAATAAAAATGTGAATTTGCTTGCTCTTTTAAAAACGTTTTGTCCATTGGCAACTGAACTGTAACAGTGGTTTCCTGTTTAATTCTGTTGTGGAAACGTCACTGTTCTCTGAAAAAGGCGATGTGAACGCAGATAAACTGCGATCTGATCTCAACCGAGATAAAGATTAAAATTGGATCTTTTTTATTTGTTTTCTGTCTGAGGCTGCACTGAGGCTGGCGTTGCATTTCCCCCGTCTTTTCAGTTCTCTTTCCAGAGATGGGGCGTCAGATAGCGCGCTTGCTGATCTCGCATTCTGATAGTGGGTTACAATTGGATATTTTTTCATCTATCCTTTTAACTCTTTAATACATAGGCGTCCATTTAAAAGGTCTCTCTCTCTCTCTCTCTCTCTCTCTCTCTCAAACACACACTCACTCCCTGCCTGCCTACTGCTGAGAAGTCGTTTTGCTCTGGTGCCAGGCGCTCTCTCAGTTCTTAATCCAGAAGAGATGCCTTGGTCCGATAAGCACAGTAGCAATATCTTGGAGGTTGAGTTTGAAAGGGCTGCTCAAAAATATAGCAGAAAGTGACTCTTAAAAGGAAAGAGAAATCACATGATAAGGTAATATTAGCATACATTACGCATTGTGCATAAAGTGCGCATAACGATGCTTCTAGTTAAAGGCATACCATTGGGCGGTCATGCCAACTACCCTAATGGACTCTCCAAATAAGATCTGCAACATGCCATCTTCAAAGCAGCCACTTGAAAAAGCTACATGAGAGATATAGGTTTAAAAAAGTATTTGACTAAGTATGGAAGCATTCTTGTAGGTTAGTGTTATTATGAAAAAGAAAAATCCTCTTCACATGTTATTTTATTAATGAAGAGGATGATTGTTCTGTTGGCTAGCTGTAATCTAAATAATAATAATATAAAAAAAGTAATTTCCTTTCCTTATTATTTTCCCATAGTGGTCTTCCAATTGATCACCTATCAGTCTCACATGGACTGTGGATATAGTCCAGACACTGGAGTGGATAAAACCAAGCTGTAAGCATATCAGGGGTGTCATGGCCTTTGTCTTTATCAGTGCTTACACCATCATGCTTCCTGGCTTCTTGACGTGACACAGAAAAACATTGAAGTCTCATGATTCTCTTGTGCCTTGGCAGACATTTTATTGGAGTAGGAGTAGTGATAAAGACTTGGGGTTTGATTACGTCCACCATATTGTTCCATAAGCGTCACACGCTTGCTTCTCTGTACTATCCCGTATTTTAATTAATTACTGTGTTCTGGTTATAGCACACTTACTGGGCGGTGGTGGCATTTGGAATGCTGGACCAAAAACAGATGTGTCCAGCATTATGGAAGCCTAAACTCAGGGTAGAGATTTGTCTGTGTCTTTTGTGCGTCATTCTTCCGACGGTGAAGATCTCTCAAACTGATTATCCATCCCTCCTTGATGGAAAGATATGAATGCGGCACTGGGTCCGGATCTCAGGGCTTATATTTTGGCAGTTGAGATGGGAGACAGGATAAGCAGGGCGGCGATCGCTCCCCTGATAGTGTGAGACAGATGGAGGCGATTGGGATTGAGCTTGCATTATAATTACATTTGGCTGCTGCATTCTCATCTTTGTCGTGTTTGTGTTGTTGTTTGGGACTAGCTGGGTGTATCTTTAGAGTTTTATTTTTTTTAAAGAGGGAGAAGCAGATAAGGCCAGAAATAGGGATAGCAGGCCTGATAAGGCGTAGTGGAAAAAAGCCAGGAATACAGAAATGGTAGATTGTAGGTTTGAAAGCAGTCAGCTCGCCCTCTCTGAGATGTGCAGGGCTGATAAGGCCGCCTGCTGATCACTGATAGATAAGCTCAGGCAGATCCACAGATACAGCTGCAGCCGCTCTCTCTGCAGCTCTATCCTCATGACATCACTGATA